AGGAAGGAAGGAAGGAAGGAAGGAAGGAAGGAAGGAAGGAAGGAAGGAAGGAAGGAGCCATGCGAATGACTACTTGCTTAACTTACCCCTTGAAATCCTGTAGTGTAATGGTTTCTCCCAACAAGTTCAAGAAGTTTTGGAAGGCAGGACTCTCTTCATTGTTCCCAAACAATTCTTCTTCCTGTGTCTGGGAAGATAAAGTAATTCCAAACAAAACTCATCTTTATTTTGAAACGACCAGCAGCAAAACTAAAGTTTGGAAGAGATTATTCCTATTATGGTGGGAGGCAATCAACTTCCTCTCTAAATAAGTATTGTCACTAACTAGTTATCCACTCCTCTCTCTAGACAGAGGGGGGGGGAGAGGGAGGGAGGGAGGAAGGGAGGGAGGGAGAGAGAAAAGAAAAGATGTTCAGAAGAGTGGTTATTCTTTTTTTCCACAGCATAGGTGGAGCTGGACCAAGAAATTCTCCAAACTCTTTTTTATTGGCTATTGTTTATTCTTTTATTGCTTTTTAAAATAATGACAAAAACAGGACAACAACCACAAAGATGAAAATGTATACATAGTCAAATAAATAAAAGGCATAAAAAAGGCTTTTAAAAAAGTGAAAAAAACCAACAAAGAAAAAAAAGTACATCATTTTAGCAGTATAGTTACAATTCTTTATAGGTTATCTAATGCAGTTATTGTTCACACACACACATACACACACACACACATAAAAACATTTATAGTATGTTAATGATCATTTTTTTAACCACAGAATTATTGAACTCCACACATTTTAAAGTTGCTATGATTGAGAAAAGCTTCCTTAAATGGTCAAATCACCACCAAAACAACAGAAATATTATTGCTCCAATAAAAGAAATCACTCACTTGCTTAAACTTCTGGTAAATCACCCCAAACTTGAATGTGTTGTTAAGTTCATGTTCATCGTAGGATACTATCAATTGTGATGCCTGAAGTAGGAGAAAGAAGGAGGAGGGAGTCATAGAATAATTTGTAAAGAAAGAAAGTCCTTTAATGAGTTTGGGAAGTATCCCTTTTTTGGGGGGGGGGAAGTTGCTGACAAAAGCAAAAGGTCTCGACTTATACTCATTAGTTTAGTGACTGTTCAAAGGTACAGTGACTTACAAAGGTAAGGTGACTTACAACCAATCTTCACACTTACGACCATTTCAGCATCTCTGTGGTCACATGATCAAAATTTGGACTCTTGACAACCAACATGCATTTACAACAGTTGCAAAGTCCCAAGGTCATGTGATCACCATTTATGACCTTCCCAGGTGGCTTCCAACAAGCTAAGTCAATGGGGGAAGCCAGATTCGCTTAACAACAACGTGATTCACTTAACAACTGCAGTGATTCGCTTAACAACTGTGGCAAAAAAATGTCATAAAATCGGGTGCAACTCTCTTAACAATTGCCTTGCTTAGCAAAGCAAATTCTGGTCCCAACTGTCATAAGTCAAGGACACCTCGTATTTCACCCGCAGAGAACATGCTTCAAGTGTATAGAAATCCCGTATTGGTTCACTGGCCTATTTTTTTTTATAAGTTATTATTTTATTTATCAAATTTTTGAAACCACTCATCTTTGTCACAGAGGGACGCTTCTTAATATTTAATTTAGAAAAGCCTCTGTTGGAGAATCACTGTAATTCCAGAGCCAGGCACACAGACCTACTTAAAAATGTGAGGATTTCAGTCACTGAAGCTCTCCGTTATCAGGTACAGACCAATGTCTGAATCCCTTTCCCTGTATTCTGAAGCTTCTGCTCCATCTCTCACTTCATCACCTAAAACGTTGAAGTGTCATGTGTCTGATTAACGAAACACTTAAAAGGACTTTCAGGCATATTTTTTCCTAAAAGCATTTATTAAGGTTACAGAGACTTCAGTACGGCGTGGTGGAAATGCTTAGATCTGGCTTCTTCCATTACACATACATTCTAATCATTTTTCCACTCCCTTGTTTTGGGGTCATGGTTCACATCTTCCAATTAACTTGGAAGATGTGATTTACTTCCGGTTTCTTTTTCCCGGGCTATCCTTATTTTCCTCCCTTTTTCCCTGTTGCCTGGTTTAACTATAAAAATACCAGACAGTTCTGCATATTGTCAAAGCAAGAATATACAGCATTTGCAGCGTTGACATGAAGAACATTTGAGCTACAGATTCCCTGAGGCCTCTAGCCCTATAGGATGACCTGAGGAACTTCAGAGGACTGTATTTCCCGAAGCTCCTTGCACCAGGTGTAGTACAGAAAAGACAGTCAACAAAAAGAACAAAGCCAGGGAATACATTTCGAAGACTCCTCTATTTGGAACGAGGCTTTTCATTCCAAACCAACCTTGTCCAAAGAAGGTTTCAATAGAAGAGAATATTTGTAGCTCAGGGTTGAACTGTGGGGTCCTTGGTGCTTTCTGAGCTTGGTGGTTTTCTTGCAGACATTTCATTAGTGCACTGATGACGTTACCTAGTTTGGTAATGAAATGTCTGCAAGAAAACTACCAAGCACCAAGGACCCCACAAAGAAGGTTTCCTTCTCAAGCTGCTCCATTCTCAACCATGCCTCTCTCTTTTCTCTATCCATCATCATGCCATCCTTTGATGTAGCTATTCTAACCCTCTCCTTTTGCAATACCTGGCCTGAAAACTTCTGATCGCATCCCATCAGTAGAGCTGAGCACTCAAAAATGACTTTGCTCAACATCTTTAGTTGTCTGATCTCCCTGAAAGCTGCTGTCAATTCAAATGCTTACGCCGGTCCTTAGTTTCTGTTGCATACCTGCAAAAAGTAGAGCCAGGCCATCCATATTTTCACTAACTCCACTTATCAGATTCTTTAGCCTGCTTTTATGATAACCATCCTCTTCCTGCAGAGCTCTTTTAGGTTCAGGTTCATTTTTTTCTTGAGTGGGGGTCAAGAATAAGTCAGACTAAGCAGGTTAATCAACCCAACTCTGATCTAATTGCATTCTCTTTTCAGGTACCTAAGGCAGGGCTTTTCAACCTTTTCACCCATTGTACCACTTTTAGGATATGGCAACATCCGAGAACCACCAGTTGCTTAGCAAGATGTCAAAAACTTGATGACCCCCCCAAAAAAGGGAAAAAGTGATAAAGTACAGGTAGTCCTCGACTTACAACAGTTTGCTTAGTGGCTGTTTGAAGTTACAATGGCACTGAAAAAAGTGCCCCCCAAGCCACAGCCGAGCAAGACACCTGCCTGCCCACCCGGCAGTGCTCTTCCTCCTGTCTGAGGTTTTCATTGTTGTGAGCATTTCTGTTAGGGATTGGCAGCGGGGGTGGGGTGGGGGTGTTTGGTTTTTATTCCCCCCATCTGCTGGGTGGTTGCAGCAGGTTTTGGTCACTTGACATGACCCTGGGACACTGTGACCATCATAAATATGAATCAATTGCCAAGCCTCTGAATGTAAATCACAAGACCCTGGAGATGCTGCAACATTCCAGCTGATTGGTGTTTCTTCAGGGCTCAGCAGAAGCACCAGGATCAGCGCTGAGCTCCAGCTGAAGCCTGGCGCTGATCCTGGCGCTTCCGCTGAGCCCTGACAGCCCTGCGGCTCCAGCCATCTCTCGCTCAGGTTTGTGCGGTGCTGCCACTGGTTCAGCTCATTCCCCTCCCCCACTACCACTTTTCTAGGATGTTCGCGTACCACCTGCCAGGTGCCAATGTACTACAGGTGGTACCCGTACCACTGGTTGAAAAGCCCTGGCCTAGGGAATGTATCGTTAATCCCAGGTGACAGTTCTGAGGCGTATGCTGCAAATTGATGAAAATCTGTCTCCTGGACATTTTCATGCCTCTCCACGATATTTAGAATCGGGGAAGCCTACGGTCACAAATTGGTGCATTTCAGTTCTACCGAGATAAACCTGTGTGCGTGCAGTTCATAGAATCAGAGGGCTGAAAAGGACCTTGGCAGTCTCCTAGCATAGGTTAATCTGCACATCAATTTCCTTCTGGAATTAGGTTTGTGCATCATTGCTCAGCTTACCTTGGGATAGAGCACGGGGTGAAACTTTAATCCAGTGGCGTCGTCACAGAAGGCCTGTTTAGAAACGCAGCAAATGGTGAGTGAGAATTTAGGACCCCAGAGACATAGCAGCCCTTTGGGGAAAGTCAAGCAGCCCTTTACAAACACCCCTTTGGGGGAATTCAGAGATAATACAAAACGAGCAAAATAACTTTCTTTGTTGTATCACAATTGTGGAATTGATTTAGGCCAATGAAGGGGTAGGTGGGGATCTGAGAGACAGCAACTTTTCTTCTAGATTTTCCCCACCCTAAACAGCATACATTATTTTTGGATGATAATAACTTGCATTATTATTATTATTATTATTATTATTATTATTATTATTATTATTATTATTATTATTATTATTATTATTATTATTATTATTATGGATCATCGCACAGTCAGCCAGATGTTCAGACTGGATTTGGCATTTTGTCTACCTATCGAGTCCTTTCCCAGGACCTGGGATAGGCAGATGTGGATGTTTGATGGTATTACAGATA